CTTCGATCAAATATAATAAATTCATGATCTATAGAATACCTTGACGTTTGTCTTCCACTGTGGTTTTCCCAGGCTGCATGCCTTTCTCGATATCAACATTTTCAGCTTCATTAAATTGTGAACCAACGTCGAGGAGCATTGGAGTATTCTCTGGAAGGTTTTTCTCAACTCTACCTTCATTCAATTCACCATCATTAGAGAGTTTTTGAGTTGTGTCAATTGAAGCACAACTAGTTTCAACTTCCACTACATATTCATAAAGAGTGGGAAATAGATCAACTAGTTTTTTCTATATATATAACATAGAAAAAATTTATATAAAGGCTGAAGTTTGCCAGTTACAAAAAAAAACTTCAGCTCGACAGTTACAAAAACAAAAACTTCAGCTCTCACCAGTTACAAAACAAAACATTCAGCAAAAAAACATGCTGTAGTTTTTACAAAAAACACAAAACATAAAACAAAACTTCAGCTCCTATCTAAGGTATCATTGAAATATTATAAACTTCACACTTTATACCTGTAGTAACAATTTCCTGTGTATCACCACCTAGAAGTTCTTTGCAAATAGTTAGTGCTCCTCCATACCGATCGCCTTTCCAAATAGTGCTAGACACATCACTCGCTTTCAGTTCTAAAATACCAACAAGTGCTTGATCTCCATCGCCAAACAATTTGCCTTTTGCAATATCACTTTCCAAAGCACAACTCGGTGCATGTTTTTCAGTGCCAACAACTTGATCATCTGCACCTTTCTCAGTTGTTAACTCTTCATCATTTCCATCTTTACTATGTCTATAAACACTGGATTGTTCCTATCCACCATGTTGTTGAACATGTTCATCGCCTTCAACAGCCGCTTCCTTACGTGCAGCATTATCATCTGCGACTTTATGCAATACATCATGAGCAGTATGTTCTTCACTTGATTATCTGCACCTTGCTTGCTTCCAATATTCTCAGTTGATAACTCTGCTTCATCATTTCCATCTCTGCTCAATCTATTAGCACTGGAACGTTCCTCTTCAACTTGTTCTTGAACATGTTGATCGCCTTCAAAAGCCACTTCCTCACGTGTAGCATTTACCTCTACGACTTTTTCTGATGCATCATCAACAATATTAATATCCGATGGATGTTCGTAACAGTCGTTCCCCCATCATATTTTCGATGGTTACTCAAATCAAAATTGACATCGTCCATTCCATTTGATTTGTTGACAATCTTAAACAACTATTCAAACTTTTCATCGAAATATTCCTAGAAAAAAAAATTACTAACAATGATTAATCTGAATAACATCAGCAGAAATAAAAAGACTTCTCTATAAATTAGCTTACCTTCACTTTTACAAAAACCGCATCCACAATAGCAAATCGCTCCTCCTTTTTAAACTTATCGAAAACTTCTTTCACGATCGTGCTTCTTTCTTTTTCTGCATGCCTTTGAACCTCCATCGTTAACCTCTAGAATAGACACACAACAAAAATTCAGATATAGAGGAAAACTTCAGCTCAAAAACATGTTGTACTTTTACAAAAACAAAACCAAAAAACTTCAGATCAAAACTTACAGAACATATTGTGTCGAGTAATTCATTGTCATCAAAGTCACTTGTAGAACGGTTAGAACGACTCTAGTTACGAGATGATTCGCCAATAAAAGGAGTTCGATTCGCTTTTTTTGATCGACTCCGACTAGGTGGTGATTCACCAATAACAGGAGTTTGATTCGATTCTTTTGATCAACTCAGAGTACGTGGCGATTCACCAGTTGAAGGAACCACGTTAAGTACCTTTGAACGAATCTGGCTGCATGGTAATTGTCCAATTAAAGGCATTGAATTCAATTCCTCTTCTATAGGAATTATATCCAATACCCTAAAGCTACGATATATCTGTTTAATACAAAAAAGTATATTATGAGAAGAAAAAAACTAATACGTCAACATATTAACATAAAGACAAAAAAAAAGTAACTTACTTCATGACTACTGAACATATCAAAAAGTTCGGGAAATTTAGGCTCTCCCACACATACATAACGTAACATTCTAGGAACCTGAGGGGTATCAAGGTACTCATCCTCTCTTATATACTTCTCCCGAATATCTGGGAAACGCTCATAGAACCAAGAACATAACGGATATAGAAATACACCAATTTTATACTCAGTTGAATGTAATTTGTTCTGCTTGTCCAATGCATGTTTCAGTGAGTAAATGAGCTTCTCATAAGCCACATTACCCCAAGGATATTCAGTACAAACCTTATCATCTTCAACAATAGATGCATACTCCTCCATCACAGATGACTCGGTCTTTTTCCCAAACAAAATAGACTCTACAACAAGAATTTCCATAAGCTTCACAGCATCATCATTGCTCTCGCATACGTGTATATGATTCGCAGCATTCTTTGGAATTTCATTCCGAGTCATAAAATCTCGAATATCCTTCAAAGTCACCCTTGGACTTACCAAAATAGCGCTTCAGAATATTGCTCTCTCGATTAATTGATTTTTCAATATTATGTGTTGTGATCCGCAAACCACACATAATGTGAAAGTCTTCAAGGGTGAATGAAACATCATGGCCAAAAATCTTGAAACTAATCGAGTCTCGATCATTCGTAAATATTCGAGAAAGACACAAACAATGAACCAACTCCATGCTGCATTTGAAATTCTCCATAGCCATAATGTATCAAAATGTACCATTATTAAGCTTATTCCGTTGTGTAGGAGTCAAGAAAGTTGCAATTAAATTCTTCAAATCGTGGTTCCCCTTCCAGTAACCCTTACAGTTAAACCAATCTCGAAACTCAAAATATCTTTGCCCTGGTCTTGTAGGTGGAGGAACAGAGACATAAGGACCTGGGGGTATTATAGGTTGTCTAGGTGTTTTAGGTGCTCTAGGGGCATTAGCTGCTTTGCGTGCTTTAGCTGCATTAGGATCTTTAGGTGCTTTAGGTGCCATCTTTTCAAAAAAAAGTAAAACATACAAAAAATAACATCAGGACATTATCAAAAAGATCAGTTAAAACTTCAAATCTCTAAGAAGGCTGAAGTTCGACAGTTACAAAATAAAAACTTCAACTATAGAACTGAAGTTTGACAGTTACAAAACAAAAACTTCAGCTATAGAGTTGAAGTTCGACAGTTACAAAACAAAAACTTCAGCTCTAGAGCTGAAGTTCGACAGTTACAAAACAAAAACTTCAGCTCCTAAAGCTGAAGTTCAACAGTTACAAAACACAAAACATCCAGCAACATGCTGTAGTTTTTACAAAAAACAAAACACAAATTCAAATCCAAAAATAATGCCAAAACATGAAAAAAAAACTTCAGCTCCTATCTAAGGTATCATCACTTTAATAGTATCATCTATTTAACTCTCAAAATTTTTAAAAATTTAGACGTCTAATCACTGAAGAATTTATAGAATTTTCATCAACAACATAAAAACTCGTTCAAAAAACCTAAAAACACAATCATAAATATAAAACTAATGCACTTATCAAACTAAACCCTAAGAAACTATTTAATCATAAATACATGACTATTAAAACCAAAACCAGAAATAAACCCCAGAAATCGTAAAATAAAACCCAGAAAGTTAATGTAGTGTACCTGTGATTAAATCGTAATGTGAGAACGACGACTAGCAATTGAAAAATCAAAACAACACAAAACCGTTTGATTTTAGAAATGAACAAATCAAAAAACGCGAATAACGGGAGAGAGAGATAGAGACAGTAGAGAACTAGCGTATACTTGGAGAGAAAGTAGTCTTTTAATGAAGAAGGGCAAAATAGTCTTTTTAAAAGGCTTTTTACAAAAAAACGAGTACGGGTGCAAATAGAAAGACAAAGCGGCTACAGGTTGAAAAGGGGCACCCCATGCAATTTTTACGGTCAGTTGAAGTAAATTCTAAGCCTGCCCAAATTTCTCAATTTGAAAGCATATCCCAATTCTAATAGGGGAACTTTCAGAAATCAGTATTGTTTGGAGGCATATTGCTGGGCGTGGCTATAATTTAGCTACTGCATTCTGTAGCTACTAATTGCTTGTCATGGGATGTTTGTCGTTGTATTTAGTTCGATTGTATACACAGTATTTAATTCAGAGGTATTAGTTTATATAGTTTACATTGTATTTAATTTCACTGTATTGAAGTCAGTTGTATTCAAACACAAAAAATCAAGAAATAGGATGTATATCGCTCTATTTAATTCGGCTGTATATATTGTATTCAATTCGGCCTTCCAAAAGAAATGCAGCTTCTCCCCAAAAGCAGAAGCAGTTTTGACTTTTCTTTCTACAAATAATACCCTTAGCAAAATATTATACATACCAAAATAACCTTAGTTTAAACTATTAAGTACTAGATAATGACTTTTGGGATGAGCTTTCATATTTGTTGAATGATTTTTTGATATATTTAAATTATCTTGAAAGAATAAGTACTTTTCAATTTTTTTTATATTTTACTTAAATAAAATAAATTTTTTAATTATTATCTTTAATACTAATAAATATTTGTGATTATTTATCTATTTATATAACATTACTATTAAGCAAATCTTTCTACGTCCTTATTCGTAATTTGACAAAACTTGGCTAAATAAAAATTATTGGTCAAAAGTACTTTTCAAATTGATTAGTCAAATACATACTGTTTTTCTTCAAAAGTACTTTTTTGATAAACGCTTTTGAAAAAAGCACTTCTCATTTGGCCGATTAATGAGAAAACCTTTGAAAATAATTTAACTTTAAACTTTTTGTTTTATCTTAATGGAAAAATTTTATAACCACAGAAATATTATATTCTCACAAACTTTTATCCTTTAAATTTTTTGGACCATACGGTTCAAGGCTCCCCTTTTTTTTTTTTTTTTTTTAAACCCGGGCCAAGTAAATTACGTCACATAAGTACCTTTTCTTTGTCTTATTTGGTCTGGTCAAATCTGGATCTTAGTCCAATAAGATGGCCATTTCGTTTTTTGCATAAATTATACATTTCGGAGGTGATGTAAGAAAGCCCAAATGAATTCTACTTTCATCATATGGCAAGAAATGGGAAATGCTCACAACAGTAAAATTGCAGCAATCTGTTTGATAATTTTCTTGGTATATAAAGCATGGGAAGTGTTGAAGTGGATATGGATTAAGCCAAAGAAACTGGAGAATTGCCTCAGACAACAGGGACTCAAGGGAAATTCCTACAGGCTATTCTATGGAGATATGAAAGAATTGTCCAAAAGTCTCAAGGAAATGAATTCAAAGCCCATCATCAATCTATCAAATGAAGTAGCCCCAAGAATTATTCCTTATTATCTTGAAATCATCCAAAAATATGGTATGTCTAAAGATTTTTGCTTTGAGTGATTTCAGTCATATTTTTCTTCTTAGAGCGAAAGTTTTGAGGTAAATTAAAGATAAGTCAACTATAACCTTGCTTTGATTGGAGACTTTTGACCATGCCAAATTTTTCGTGTCTTTACTTATACTATTTCTGTTCGCTTTTATTTGGCACGTTTTGACTTTTCACGCCCCTTGATACCCATATTAATTGATATATATTTTATTGAATTTGAGAAAATAATTTAAAATGAGTTATAAATAATGTGGGTACAACAGGAAAAAAAATTTTATCTTCTCTTGATATGCGTAAAATGACAAGTAAAAAATAAAAATCTATTTTTAGTATATATGCCAAGTAAAAGTGAACAAAGGGAGTAATTTTATTACTCCATCCGGTCCACTTTAAAAAAAATTGGGCTCTTTTCACACCTACTAAGGAATTTATCTTTTAGCATTAATTAATAATGAATTTGACTATATTAACCTTAATTTACTCATTGAAAATATAACAAACTATTCATAGGCTCTTTACCCCAAGGGCAACAGGAACAAAAATTAATTCCTTCTTGATATTTAAAAAAATAAAATATTGTGTACCACCAAAAAAACCAAAAAATCACTTTAAATGGACCGGAGGGAGTAGTTAAATAGTACATTCTTCACTTTATCTTATCATTTACTATGACAAATTAATTTGATTTAGTCTAAACTATAGAGCCTTAAATCTTTTATACTAATGCACATGGTGTCATAATTTTATCTAGTAGGGATGAGATAAGGACTTCCCTCCAATGGTGCTAGCCTTTGAACGAAAAAAAGATTTCAATATTATAGTTAAAATAGCACGGTCTAGTCAGTTTTCGGACTGATCATTTAAAAATAGTCAGCGTTTACAAAGTCAATGAAAAATAGCCACTATTTTGCTGCAACAGAGATCTGTCCAGCATAATATACTGGAGTTCGGTACACCTGTATATGAACTTCCAGCATATTATGCTGGATCGGTATACTTTGCTGGTTCCAGTATAATATACTGGAGCACCGGTGCTCCAAACTCCAGTATATTATGCTGGACCGGTATATTATATTGGAACTCCACTATATTATGCTGGAGTATTTTTCGGATTTTGAACAGTGTTTTTATTCAGATTTATCTTTACATGAAAAGTTGCTAAATTTCGATTACTTTTAAAACTGTGGCTATTTTTTAATGACCACTTATAAATCTGACTATTTTTAAATTTCTCCCAATATTATATGTGACAACTTTTCTTTATTAAAAAAAATATATTTTAGGTTAGATGAAATGTGTGTTGTACAAGTTAACGAGATAAATATACAGTTTATTAAATATTATCATATTTCATTGTTGGCAGTTTCTTAGATTTTCTGGCATCATAGCTGAATTTTAATAATTCATCGTAATTATAAAATTATTTTTCTAAATTATATTGAATTATGAGATGATCATTTCATTTATCACATTAAACTGATAGTGGGATTTCACTTTTATTTAATTATTGTATCTTCGACTTACCTTTTCATGTGTGGGACTAATATTTTTTAATAGATAAGATGCACTTGAATTTTTTGGTGGTAATGAGTGGTAGTGAGATTCCAATCTGGGATCTCTACTTGCTATTGATACCATGTTGAGTTGTGTAAGCAACTCTAAAAACGTAGGTTGTTATAAAAAATACTTTCACTTACTTAATTATGTCCTTAATATATCATTTATCACCTATTAAATATCTCGCTCGTTAAATATTTTACTTATTGGAACAATAAAAATATTTAATTTAAAACGTTAAATATTTTGGAACTGTTAAGATTAGAGTTGCATTGTAATTATTTAACTAGTAGCCATATTTGTTAGGATTGGCTATGTCTATTATTGCAATTAGTTAGTTAGGATGTTAGTTGATGTCTGGATATTAGCTAGTGGTAGCTTAGGTAAATAGTGGTAGATGACAGCTGTGCAAACACATTATCTTGTATATAGGCGCACTACTTCTGATTTCTAACTAATGAGAAATATTTCTCCCAATCTGAAATTCTCTCGAAGTTTCCTCATCTTCTCTGAGCTTCATGGCCTTCAGCCATGGCAGTCCGAAATCTGTTTTTCTAAGACAAACTCCAACTATTGAAGCACACCAAGACGTTTCACCTTTAATATTTACTTACTTTTCCTTTAATTTGCAGACTTTTCCCAGTAAAATGAACAAAAGAATGAAAGAATGTGAAAAGGAAGTACGAGAAACAATTACGCGTCTAATTGACAACAGATTAAAGGCAAAAGAAGAAGGCAATGGCAAGGCCCTCAATGATGACCTATTGGGTATATTATTAGAGTCAAATTCTATAGAAATTGAAGAACATAGTAATAAAAAGTTTGGAATGAGTATACCTGAAGTAATTGAAGAGTGCAAATTATTCTATTTTGCTGGGCAAGAGACTACATCAGTATTGCTTGTGTGGACAATGATTTTGTTAGGGAGAAATCCAGAATGGCAAGAACGTGCTAGGGAGGAAGTTTTTCAAGCCTTTGAAAGTGGTAAACCAACTTTTGATGAATTATATCGCCTGAAAATTATAAGTGATTTCCTGCCTATTACTCTCGCAGTTTCATTTTATAAGGTAGTGTTTTGCTGGAAACGGAGTTTAAGAAAGAAATAAGGACGTTCATCGCATACTAAACATATTCTTAGAACTTGTGATCTTAGCGATATGCCATGACAGTTCTATAAGAACATATCATTAAGTGTAAAATAAGAAGTTTAAAGGTTTCCAAATATAGAAATATATCTTTTTCTATAAACAAACTGAAAAGGAAAGAATGTCATATAAAATGAGATCGAGGAACTATGTAACTTATGCTAAGAGAAGAAAACATAGAAGACAAAGTTATACTGTATATTTTAATTTTTTAGATGCATTATCTCGGCTAGAAGGTAAATCATAAGTTATACTGTACATTTGTTGCGGAAGCCAAATGTATATAGTGTGAATAAATCATAACTACTATACCAAAAAATTATGACAGCCACCAAATAATAAATAAGACAATAAAACAACAATAAAAGGAACACCAGAATTTACGAGGTTTGGCTAATTTTGCCTACTCCTCGGACACAACCAATATTTTATTTCACTCCAAAAATACAAGTGAAATAATACTAAAGAGAGAAGATACAAATGCCTTAAGAAGATAAGAAGGCAAATGAGAGGTGTGTTTAAATCCTAAACATTAGGCCTTCTTTTATAGAGGAAAAAATCCCCCCAACTCTTCTCCCAACCGATGTGGGACTTTGGCATTTTGCCAAACTTCAACAAATCTCCACCTTGGCAAAATTCCACATCTTCAATTCTCTCTCAATAACAAATTTTTGTTGTGTCTTCATCTTCAATCTTCAGTGTTCAACAATGTTGATCAAATCCAAACAATGTTGAAACTTGATCGTAGTCACCACTTTTGTCAGCATATCAGCAGGATTCTCTGTAGTATGAATTTTCTTCACCGTGACTCCACCTTCTTCTATGATTTCTCGTACGAAATGATACCGAACATCAATGTGCTTCGTCCTTGCATGATAAACTTGGTTCTTCGCTAATTGAATAGCACTTTGACTATCACAAAAAATTGTGATACCTTTTTGTTCAACACCAAGCTCCTTTAGCAATCCTTGAAGCCAAATTGCCTCATTCACAGCCTTTATAATAGCCATATACTCTGCCTCTGTTGTAGATAAAGCAACTGTTGACTGCAAAGTAGACTTCCAACTAACTGGTGCCTTTGCAAAAGTAAACACATAACCAGTAGTTGATCTTCGTTTGTCCAGATCACCCGCAAAATCTGAATTACAATATCCAACTACAGACTGATTGTCTTCCTGTNGCCTTCTTTGCCCTTGGATCCAATTTTGACTCTGTCACATGATAATATGCAGTTGAGCCAAACAAGTGCAAAGAGTCATAATCTACAGCAGGCTTTCCGTACCATTTTTCAAATGGTGTTTTGCTANGTTGTAGTACTCTCTTCAAATATTCTTTATGAGATAAACAGAGTTTCTTTGAACGTCTATCTCGTATTATCTCCATGCCAAGAATTTTCTTTGCCTCACCCAGATCCTGCATCTCGAACTCCTTCTTCAGTTGAATCTTCAACTTATCAATTTCTTCCGAATTCTTGGAAGCTATCAACATATCATCAACATATAGGAGAAGATATACAAAGGAACCATCTTTAAGCTTGTGCAAATACACACAATGATCGTATTTGCTTCTCTTGTACCCTTGCCGCAACATAAACTCGTCAAATCGCTTGTACCATTGTCTAGAAGATTGTTTCAATCCGTACAACGATTTTTCAAGTTTGCACACCATATTTTCTTTTCCAGCAACTTTGAATCCTTCTGGCTGAGTCATGTAGATTTCCTCCTCCAAGTTTCCATGTAAAAACGCAGTTTTTACATCCATCTGAACTAGTTCCAAATCCAATTGTGCTACCAAAGCCAACATAATTCTAATGGAGGAATGTTTTACAACTGGAGAAAACACTTCATTGTAATCAATTCCCTCCTTTTGAGCATATCCTTTGGCCACCAATCTTGCTTTGTAGCGAACATCTACTTGGTTAGGAAATCCTTCCTTCTTTGCAAATACCCATTTGCACCCAATTGCTTTCTTTCCCTTCGGGAGATTGGCCAATCTCCATGTATGATTCTGATGAAGGGACTGTATTTCATCATTCATGGCAATCCTCCACTTATCTTCTTCTGAACTTTGGACAGCGTCTTTATAAGTAGTAGGAACATCATCAGCTACAATTGAGGTTGCACAAGCAACCGTCTCTATGAGACGAACAGGTTTCGTTATTGTTCTTTTTGGTCTGCTGGTTGCTATTGATTCAAGTTGTTGTTGAGGTTCCTGAGTTGGAATCTCCTCTATTAACTCTCCTTCCAGAGGGTAATCTTCATTTGTTTCCTC